TAAAATCCCTGTGTGGTGGCGGCGTGCCGTCCTCTCATCCATCCCTTGGGGTGTATGTTTTCTTTCTTTCTTTTTTAGATGGTCCCAGCCTAGATGGTGTCGAGGGGTGTCGAGGGGTGTCGAGGCTCGAGGGGTCGAGTGGTGTCGAGGGTGTCGAGTTGGCAGGAGGTGTCGAGGTGTCGAGTTGGGAAAGAGAGAAAATTTGAGGCGTCTCATCTCCATCCGAAAGAAAGAAAGAAAACATAAGCGCCCAGGAGGGATGGGAGGACGGCACGCCGCCACCACACAGGGACTTTAAGGAGAGGAGTGGTGGTGCTAGCCGTCGCCATCCGGCAGAGTGTTCAACCACATATTTTTTCTGGCGTCCTCGACTTTTCCTGCTTTGCGGCGTTCGCGGGTGCACTCTTGACTTTGCGAGGGCGGCCGGCACGGCCGCACCACCCCTTACATTATACCTGGAGCTTCCGTTGTGGCTGGGCGCAGCCTCGACAACCTCGAGTGCCAGAGCTCGCCAAGTGCTCGACATATGGCGACCGAGTACCTCGCCGCTGAGACTGCCATGAAGGTCGAGTCCGAGGAGGTCCCTGTCGGCCACCGCGGCGGGCCGCCTCTTTACGGAAGGATGATGAAGTCCATTCAGACTGGCCATACCTTTGGCAACCGCGTTCGCATGCTGAAGCTGCCCCTCATCTTTCTCGAGGAGGGTCTCTACGCGGGCGCCATCACGCAGTTCTACTTTCTGTCCGTGGCACTCGAGGCGCAGCTTGACCGGCACAGCTCGGACCCGATGGTGGCAAAGGTGCTCGGCCTCGGTCTGCGGGTCGCCCCCGGCTATGAGGCGGACCTGCGTGAGCTGTACGGCGAGGGCTGGCGGGAGGTGGCCTCGAGGGCGCGCACCGCGGCGACGGAGGCCTATGTGGGCGTCATCGAGTCGGCCGACGCGGTGTCGCTGGTGGCGGCCGCCTTCATTCTCTGGGGCGCGCTGGTGGTGGGAGGCGGCAAGGCGACGCAGGCAAAGGTGCGGAAGGTGATCCCGCGCTGCGAGCACAGGCTGTTTGACGTCGCGGAGGACATGAAGAAGGCGCGGCAGAGCTTCAAGAACACCTTCACGGCGATCGGCAAGGAGTGGCCGGAGCACTTCGCGACGCTCGAGGCGGAGGCGGCGCGATTCATGGACCTCAACAACTCGGTCGTGCTGTCGGTGCGGTGCTGGGGGGTGACGGCGACCGCCATAACAGCCGGCGTGGCCGCGCTCGGAGTCGGTGCCGTGGTTGCGTGCCGGGCGAGGGCGTGAGCAGGAGCCGTCTCGGGTGGACTCTGTGGGCGTGGGACTCTCTAGGGGACTGTGAGTGTCACCGACGCGACTGTGCTGTGTGCTGTGCGTGTGTCAGACGGTGGTCGCTTCTGTGGACACGCGCGAGCAACACGCCCTTCTTGACTGCTCCCAAAAGGGGGCGGGCCGCACCCCCGCCCGCGGCCGCGCCGCCCCGCCCCAGCTTAGCCCCAGCCCCCACACACACCGCGGGGGACACACCGACTTTTCCTTTTTCATATTACTACTGGTTGGGTAGTATAAGTTCTGAGCCTGGAGGCCTAACGGGTCTAAGTGTGGCTAGCCACGCTGGAGTGCTTGCGCGGTCTAAGATCAGCGGGAGCCTCTTACATCGGCTAAGTCGGCCGTGGACGGCCTGGGGCCAAGAGGCTCCCACCGTGATCAACGTACAACGATACGGCGCAGCCCCCAAATTTTCATCCTCCTCTTCCGATTCTCGTTGCTGCTTCTTGAGCGCAATCTTCGGCGACTTCTAGCCAAACAGTTCTCACAAATAGCCTCAAGCTCAAACGAACGCGTGTCAGAGAACCCCTGTGTATGCTGGTCCTCTTTGAACGATCCGCACGTGAGGTAGTGCGGCGGTGTATCATTCACTTTATGCCACCGTTGCATATCCCGGGATATGCAACGGTGGCATAAAGTGAATGATACACCGCCGCACTACCTCACGTGCGGATCGTTCAAAGAGGACCAGCATACACAGGGGTTCTCTGACACGCGTTCGTTTGAGCTTGAGGCTATTTGTGAGAACTGTTTGGCTAGAAGTCGCCGAAGATTGCGCTCAAGAAGCAGCAACGAGAATCGGAAGAGGAGGATGAAAATTTGGGGGCTGCGCCGTATCGTTGTACGTTGAT